ATATATATATATATATATATATATATATATATATATATATATATATTATTTTTTCTTATTTTCTTATTTTTCATAATACACGTCATCTTCGAGCAAACAGACTGACTTCCATAATCTGTTTTTGAACTGAGAGTGGCAAGCTTTTACGCTTCTTTAACTAACAGGATTCAGTGAATTTGTATTTATTAATATGCATAATTTTGGGACATGTAGTGTTTTACAATTAGATTTGTAATTATTTTTGTATATAATAAAAGATCAAATCACGTTTTTATTCTAATATCTTTATTCTATATTGTTTTTCTCTTGTGCTGATTTATGTTCATGATCTTATATAACGCGGAATAGAAACACACTAGACGAATAACCGACCTACCTACGCAATAAATTTCATTTTTCTATTGCCAATGAAATACACTATGGAGGTTACGCTATGCATCGCGAAGTAGCTGATGACGCAAACTTCAAAATCGTATCATGTGTATATATATATATATATATATATATATGTGCGTGCACGGTAAGATGAGTTCATCACGACGCGTCAGACCGCGACGCGTTAAACCACCCGCGTATTCTCTATCTTTAAAAGCTCGTTATTAAGACAAATGACAGCAGACAATCTTGAATTTTGTTAATTCCCGATCATCTCCAACATATCATTTTTCCCTCCACAATAGACTTTCCAGCACGCGCTAAATCTAACATCGGAGAAGTAAAAAATCGGAAAACTTCTAGTTTCTCCAGTGAACGTAGAGTCTCGCATAAATTATCTTTTGCGTAATTCAATATTAATTTCAATATTACCTACGCATATGCTGATTGATTCCGTAGATCTTCATCTGTTTTATTTTTTTCATCCACAATTAACGTCTTTAAGGGCCGGTTGTTCCAACTTCTTGGTAAATTAACTGCTAATTAAATCATACGTCTGTCTTTGTCTAAATTGAAGAAAAAATAAAGACAGACATATGATTTAACTATCAGTTAACTTCAAACAGTCAAGAAGTTTGAACAACCGGCCTTAAGTTTTGGAGCAGTTCACGTCTCAGCTATATACACAGTGAGTCCAAAAAGCCTTCGTACACTAGGAATTTTCACAGAAAATAGTTTATTTCTATATAATGAATAGTAAACAAATAATCGTTATTTTAATATATAATAATCATTATTTACATATATGATAAAGTTTCTCTTTCTTAACAATATACCAGAAACAAAACCTATAAATTAATGAATATATTCAAAAACCTATAAATTAATAAATATACTTAAAAACGATAAAAGAACGAAATATGGTAATTTAGTAATGCGCAGAAAATTTTAGTACACTAATGATACCTGTGATAAAAACTTACCTTAGGTAAGGAACCTTCTATTCATATTTGAGCCTTGTTCGGTTTTATATATTGACACGAAATTTCACAATCGTTCTCTACTTAATGAAAATGGATCGAATAAGAAGCAAAACTACCGCGGAGAAAAAACAACTTATTATTAAGCTGCATAATCAATGAAAGTCAATAAATGAAATATCAAAACTGATTGGGAGATCACGTTCTACAATACAGAGTATTAACTGCTTTGGAAAGACCAGAACAATAAAAAACAGTGCGTACGCCCGTCTGTCTTATCGGATAACGACAAGCGATTTATCATACGTCAAATTAAAAAAGATCCGAAAACTAATGTCCCCATAATAGTTGCGGAATTGCTGAAGAGACAAGTCAACGTCTCTGTAGATACAGTGAGGAACATATTACACAAAAAGGGATACTATGGACGAGTAGCCAGAAAAAAGTGTTGGATTAATGAGACCAATCGCAAGAAGCGTTTAGAGTTCGCTTGTAAGTATCAAACAAAACTTCTAGAATTTTGAAATAAGGTCATTTTTACGGATGAAAGCAAGTTCAATTTATTTGGACTGGATGGGAACCAAAAGATGTGGCGTCAGAAAAATGCTGAGCTTCAGCCGAAAAATTTGATACCCACTGTAAAACATGGAGGAGGCTCTGTGCTACTTTGGGGCTGCATGAGTGCTTCTGGTATAGGAAATATTCATTTCATCGATGGTACTATGGATCACAAAGCGTATATAAATATTTTGAAAAATAATCTGCCAGTGTCGAAAAAATGGGGTTCCCAAATGATTTTATATTTCAACAGGATAATGATCTCAAGCACATAGCCACAAATACTAAGTTATGGTTCTTATATAACACATCTAAACAGCTGAAAACACTTCCCCAATCAGCTGTTTTAAATCCTATAGAACATTTGTGGAACCTTCTAGAAAATAAAATAAGAAAGAGATATATTTCAAGCAAGAAATGACTTAAGACAAGCACTACAAAAGGAGTGGAACTCAATTACAACATCTGACACATCCAAATTGGTTTATTCTATGCCCAAATGTCTACAAGCTGTTATAAAAGCTAAAGGCTATCCTACAAAGTATTAATATGATTTTATTTTTTTCATTTTGCTTTGTTTCTAGTCAGAATATTGTGTTATACGAACACTTTCTGTGCATTACTAAATCACCATTTTGTTCTTTTGTCGTTTTTGAGTATAATATTTATAATTTATAAGTTTTGTTTATGATATATTATTACGAAAAAGATACTTTATTATATGTAAAATCGATTATTTATTTATTACTCATTATCATACAGAGATAAACTATTTTCTGTGAAAATTCCTAGTGTACGAAAACTTTTTGGACTCACTGTATATTTTTTTTCTTTTTTACTGATACCTATGATATCTGCTACAAAGATATACAATTTATTTCTTACGCCTCATTTACAATTGATAATAGCGATAACGTGTTTTAAACTCACGCACAATGATAGCGTGTCCATAACAAAATGTGTTGATTCGGTAAACATCTACGAACTGTGTACTTTAGTATTTTAATAGCTATCTTTATTTTTGTTTCAAATAAGATCCACAATGCGTCTTCCCGGATTCACGATGCCGTACGTGTGCCATAGAATGACCGTGTACTACAAAAAAACGAGAGAACACTACTAATATCTATTATTATTTCGCAAAGGGATAAATAAGGCTTATTCACGTGATAATTTAAGGGCGCCGGTGGGTTTAAGTTTACGCGCGCGCGTAATGGAATTCGAGCGAGGGCGCAACAGGTAATAAAGAGATTTATTTCTCACCGCGTCGTGTTTTGTGTTTGCGGTTTTTACGAAGCAGCGCGTTGCCGATGGCGAGAGACCATAAGGTTTCTTATGAGCGGGAGAGAAAGGCCGCGCGTTACTTTTTTGCTGACGAACGGTAGTAATCGCTCCGCCGTAACAAACTGTGCAACGATCGGTCGATCTCTTTTTGCGGATCGGCCGCTCTTTGGAGAAATGGTTGACGCGCGCGTGTGCGGAAAACGTACGCTCGTCCCTTCTATTTTTAGCGACAAGGTGCTTACCGTCACGCCACTTTGGGCGTGCTTCGTCGGCGAAACGAGATCGCGATCAGCTGTTCGCGACTTTTCCATCGCGGGTTGTTTTCGTACTATACCGCTTACGCACTTTCCCATTACGCGGATACTTCCTCGAGTATTTCCGCCGACTCGAAATGTAGTGCATACAGGAAACGAGATATATCGATTAAAATAGCGATAATTACTCGCCGGGAGAAAAACGAAAAGATCTGATTCCGCGAGTAATGGAGGACTCGATTTGACGTCAATGCCGAAGGAACAACGGAAATATTGTGCAGCCCAATTTAGTACAGTGAGTGCAACGTCTACAGGCACAGAGATCAATGACCCTGTCGCAACTCTGCTATCTCAGCGACGTTTCAAAGTAGAATGAACCTGATGTTACAGGGGTCGTGAGTTGAAGCGTGCGCGTGCCGTTAGGATTTGCACAAGAACAACCTGACGTTTCCTTGAAGCCAACGCTGTTAGTTTTTGTGATGATTTAATTTCGAAAGAACATCTGCCAGAGTTACGCGAACACCGTTGCGACTGTTATGCCGTTATCTTTAAGTACGGAACGTGCAATTTAGATAAACCCCTCGTTATGACTTATATGATCATTATTCTGATATCAATATCGTCCATTGTTTCTCCAATTCCTGGTCGTCTTATTTCTCGCTGCAATTTTTTTCTTTGTCTCTTAGTTTGCAAGTGGCGTATCGCGAACGTGATATTATGCAACATGGGATCGATGCTTAGGAAACTCCTTTATTCAGTTTTCTTTGTCGTACATTCAATACACCTTTACAGAAGTACAGATGATAATTTTCTGCCAATGCCAGTCACATCGATGTCTCTATTAGATCGGAATCCGCTGGTAGGACTAAGCAAATAGCTCGGTATAATTTTTTGTATTGCAATGGTTCGAATACATTGACCTGTCAACTTTACCCTTCAATTCTGACGAACGTTATGGTCTAATGAAATAAGTGATTTGCATTTTCGTTGGACGTAACGAATGAATTTTCCGCGGTAACTTATTCGTTCGCCTGAACATTGTGCATGTCATAGTGCAATGGAGTGATTTTGTGACGAAAATGTATTATCTGTCTGATATACAGAAAACGATATTGCAATGTCGAATATGAGATAACGATATTGTTGTGCCGAACAGTGCAAGTGCACTTTTCAGTAATATTTTTAAGTGGCTTCCGATAACATTAATTACATTCTTATCAACATTAATACTCGAAAATATATTCATGAAGATTAAGTAAATATGCATTAATCCCCCATTCGACAGAAAGTCATATAAACGTCGATAAATTATCAATTTTGGTAAATGTTTATATTAGGAGCGACCTCATATATATGCATACATGAAAATTATTGAAATCGATGAAGTCGCTCCTAATGCAAACATTTTACATCAATTTTTTTATAGAATATCCGTCGTACTATCTTATGTCAACGATAAATAAACTGTGTTTTACAGTAAATAAACTCCGTTTACTTCCCGTTGTAAAAAAAAAGAAACAATGCAAATAAAAGAAGTAACGAATAAAATTGTTTATCAACGGTAAGGTATAAATGCAGATTTTACTTTCTTATTTTGTCTATATATTTTTGATAAGTGCCGACATAAAAAAATTTATATAAAAGAACCTCGATATTTTGTAAATCAGTAGATTACTCAGTAGATCAGTAGATTAATTTTATGACTTTAATCGAACGAAATTGCTCGTCGCGGATAACAATCGACTCTGCAATTTGTTCTGAATTGTGCATTAAAATGTGACGTGTCTCATAGAATCATCCGACAATGAAAGCACATATATAATAGGAGAGGTGATGTGATCTCCTCCTCTTTCTCCTTCTCTAGTAGCTATCGCATACGCGTGTACGTACATCAAAGTGCACACGACGATAGAAATATTTATATTACTAAATGACGTAAGCAGATTAGGAGATTGCACAGATGTGTAATATCAATTAGGACGATTTGTCATCGAGTGACACTCTGATCGATGTCATCTCATATTTTCTGAGCAAAGCGTTCAGACGTTTTCTCTTATATCCAAACACGATTTACCTTTTCTATTATATATACCGTATTATCGTACTTTCCCCATGTATTATTATCGGGAGCTCTCAAATCGTTATCACGTGCTCTTATTTGTAATGTAACAGCTGCGCTATTCCGCACGTTCTAATTATTTGTATCATAGAAAAAATTGATAATTTAAACATATCAAAAATTCTGTCGAGTCATCTTTCATATGCGCAATATTATCATCTTTGTTCATACAAATGTGAAGTTCTGTTGTTGTCTTGATGTCGTATTGAGAAATTCGTATCGGGAATTTCGGTGATTCCTTATACAGAAAGAATCTGGGACGGAAATTCGTCGTTATACGAGCGTAAAGTAAAGAAGTAAAAAAGAGGATAAATAAGATAAATGAAAAAAGAAAAGAAGCATCATACTATTGTTATATATCATGAAGCTGAAAGAGGTCTTGAGTGCAGAGTTGAATACTCAATGAATTTGTCTTCTCCTTTCCAGGTAAATTTCGTCTTGACACAATTCACAGCGCTCATATTAGCCGGACTATTAAGAACATATTTGAGTCCCATCGCCACTACTCCAGCTGCCAGACATGTCTATGGCCTCACTATTGGCCTTGCTCTTGGATATTTCTGCTTTGGCAGGTAAGCCAATACCATAGTAACATGCCACATGGAAAACTTGAGGTGTGTAATGTAAAATAATTCAAAATAATTCATAATTCATAATTCATAAGGCACAAAGTTTTTTACTGCAGTCTTTTGCATTTAATAAAATCTTGCTCGCCTTGAACCAATTCACTACGAGCGATTGTACAAAACAACTTTTGCGTGGTTGCGTGAAGCATACTTATTTGTACATTTAAAATTTTAATCAACGTTTTAACAGTTGATAATAAGACGAAGTTAATTCCTCTTTTCACTTTTCATTAATCATTTCACCAAGCTATTGAATATATGTTTGTTTTGATAAGAAAATCCAGTTTTCGGTATTTTTTGCAGGCAGGCAATTCATCTTGCTGCTCTGCCCGCACTGTGTTACATAGCGATGCGCACACAGAATCCCCGTAATATGCAGAGGTGAGGAGAAACTTGCATGGACGCCTCGATATACATTATGAAACGAAAACATTACGTAGACACAACTCTTATATAAGATTAAATCGAGCAATTTTGCACTGTAAAAAATGGAAAAATTATTATCGTACCGCGTTTTATCGAAACCGTATCGAGAAATCGATAAATTCATGTATATAATCTATTTTGAAAGATGAACGCCACTGAGATATTGCGCATTTTATTGACACTGATAACAACAGAGATGTATTATATTGCATGCAATATATATATATCGTTGGTAACGACGATCAGTCGATAGAGTACGAAGTATACTTGATGATTGTGTACATTTATGACGTAACAAATTATGCACTGATTGTCACTATATTTTCCGCGCATAAATCGTTAACAAAAGATAACCATTCGAACTTGACTCGTCTATTTCAATGTGTTTCAGGGTCGTCCTCGCAATAGCGTTGATCTACTTATCGTGCATTCACTGTCACCGGCAGATCTACGATTACGGGTCGTATACACTCGACATCACCGGTACGTTCAACTTACGATCTCGCCCGGTTCAATCCACCCGGTTCGTTTTATTCGTCTTCTTTCAGAACATTTCGTTAATGAGAAAAAGGAAAGATTTAGTTTGTTCTGTAGATATTTCAATTAAAGTCGCATAGTGATCGATAAAGTATCTAAGTGGAAGAAGTCGTTTAGTTTTTTATATAATACATATCGTATTAATTGCTTTTTTATATTTACATTAAATATATATGAGTAGAAAGAGATGATAGTGTCAAGAAAAAACAAATTTAAATATATTTGCTGTGTCATCCCACATTATGTATTATCATCTATGCGTGTTGTTTATATCTAGAAATTCTCTTAATGGCGGCGCGTCTGCAACAGCAATCCGCGAATTTACATTTGCGACTAATAGCGAGATACTGTTTTTGAAACGGTAAGAGATACCTTTACGATATTGTTACTTTTTCCTGATCGCACGATGATGTAAGTCTCACGCTTGAGCGCAATCCATTTATTTATTTATCATAAATTAAACATTCTACGAATTGATGTAATTTCTGAATGAACGGATTCGTTCATTTAAATTGCTTCTGTCGATCACTAGCGCCTGTACAGTTCATATCCGTTGTTTCTTTTTTTTCTTCACGAGCGCGCGATGTTTTAATGTAAATTGAGTCGCATTCAACACGATGTAACGCACGCACATATATACTCAGCGATATGTACAATATCGATTATTGAGTGTCTATTATGCACATGCCAATGCGCCTCGTTTGCAAATCTTTTGGTAGTACCGCGATAAGTTCCCGTCATTATTTCGCCGTGTTCCTTTTGTAATGTATGTGGGTGTCCTTTCAGGTCCTCTCATGGTCATAACGCAGAAAGTAACTAGTCTAGCGTTCAGCATTCACGACGGGCTCACGCGACGCGAAGAGGAACTGACACCGATGCAGCGTCATCAGGCTGTACAGTAAGTGCACGTGCTCTTTGAAATACAAGACCTATGTGTGCGCTATGTTATTTATATCAAGCATAAAAAAATATCAAGAATGCAAGGGTCTGGTAACCGGCTTTCAACCCTTATTGTGTACCAGACGAGTGAAATACATAAACATGCAGTATGCCTCTCTAAGTGGATCGAAGAATAATGTTCCTTTGATGTTCATGTTGCAGAAAAATGCCAACAACTTTGGAATACTTCAGCTATGTCTTTCATTTTCAAGCTCTGATGGCTGGCCCAGTGATATTTTATCGTGACTACATCGATTTTATACACGGACATCATATGCCGGGTGCAAAATCTCTGGTTGTAAGGATCCTGATCTTGATTTTCTTCTATTTCGAAAGTTCAGTTCTGTTTAGAACTGTATCAGCTCTGTTTAGAACTGAAATCGCGATGCCGTATCATTACGTGACCTTTCTGTGGTATAAATTGGTCTTAAAATAGTCAGTTGTGTTGTTATTTCGCGACACATTATCTTAAATCGCAAAAGTATCAATGCAAATAACATAAATCATCGAATAAATAATGTTTGAAATTGTAATAGTATAGTTTATATTTATAGCTGATGTATTATATAACATAAATTAATGTGCAGTCATGTATCTTTTCCTTAAGAGCGGAAAAGTGAAAGGCTTTACGTGAAAAGTTTCACATTCCTATAGTTCGAAAAATTACATGATCGCAAAATTATCGAGTTTACGTGAAACTGCACGTTTTTGCTTTTAGGAGAAAGTTACACAATCGCTACTTACGAATTTACTCAATAAATTGAGACTCGCGTTGCTTTATCAGTGGGATATTAACACGTTAAACATTTCATCTTATTCGTATAGATAAAAAACGTAACATTAATAATATTAAAATATTATTGGTTATATTAGTTAATAATATTATAACATATAATTTTAGGGTTTTTATGACAAAAAGAATGAAATGTCTGAAATCGTGATGGAACCATCTCCGACGCTAGTCGTGGTAAAGAAAATCGTAGCGAGTTTAATATGCGCCGCTATATTTATCACGTTTATTCCAATCTACCCAATACAACGAATGAAAGGTTCGCTCGTATTCACTTGCTATTTCGTTATTTGTAGCATTCTTGCACTCTTAAGAATAACTAATAATCTTTCATTCCAGAGGACGAATTCCTGAAGAACACAACTGCCATTTACAAAATATGGTATTTAATATTAACGACCATGTTCGTACGTTTTAAGTATTATTACGCTTGGATATTTGCCGATGCCATATGCAACAATTCCGGCTTTGGGTTCAATGGATACGACGAGGGCGGCAATGCGCGCTGGGACGCAGCGTCCAACATTGACGTTTACAAATTCGAGGTATGATATATCTGTGTACGATAAGTGTATTTGCAAAATTAATTCCAGTGTTGTAGTTTCTGATTTGGTCGAGTACTGATTGTAAGTATGTGTGTACTTGATGTCTATTTGATTTGATTTTCAGATGTCGCTCAATTTTAAGGGCAGCGTTGAACATTGGAACAAACGCACAAATCTGTGGCTGCGATTATTAGCATATGAGCGAGTCAGTAACAACAAAATATTTTACACATATTTCCTCTCCGCTCTCTGGCACGGTTTTTATCCTGGCTATTACCTCACATTCGCCAGTGGAGCATTCTTCACTGTTGCAGCGCGTGTGGTTAGTACACTTGAATAATGTTTTGTTCTACAGACTGTAAGTAAGTCACAAATCGTCAATTTTGATGTACAACAGGTTCGCCGTTACGTTCGTCCGTTCTTCCTGGAGTCTGAACGAAAGCAGACCTTTTATGACGTATTAACATTCACCAGTACGAGGATTGTAATGGCCTACACAACGTTCAGCTTTGTATTATTAGAGTTCGTGCCAAGCATCAAAGTGTACCTGTACGTATTGACGAAACTTAATAACTGTTGGCTAGAATATACATATTAAAAACATAGTCTTCGACGTGGTATAATCCGATGTAAACTTGTCAAAGAATATGTATCTGTACTTTTTATTGACGTGCTTTTTTTCACTTTTCTAGGTATTTGTACCTGTTCCCGCATTTATTGGGTTTGATCGCGATAATTCTTCTACCCCGTTTGGGACTGTCAAAAAAAACGCACAAACCGGCTGCGAAAGCTGAAACCGACCACTCCGTAGCAGCCAGCAACGGAAATGTACACAAAACGATGTAGTTCCCGACGCGACGTTACCGCGACTTACGAAAGACAAATATTTTTTATGAACGTTTTCAATATATACATATAATGTATATATATACATATATATGTATATGTATGTATAATTTATAACATATAATATTATATTATGTATTATAATATAAATTATAGTTATATTTATAATTTATTATACATATATGTACATATATAAATGTATCTGTATAACAATATTTCTTGTTACAACGTATTACAGATGTGAAAGTTTATCTATAATGTACGACGCGTATTCGTGTAGAATATGATTATTATCGAAACCGCGCGCGATGTATCATTTTTATATAACATGAAACAAATTTTATAATTCGCCTAAATATATAGCCGTTTTATCTACGTCAATGAGGGTTTCCGTTAGACCTGCATCTACTCTTCTCTGCATGCTTTATCGATATATTCTCCGAACTAATTGGACGAAAAGGATCAAGTTGAGGTTTGGTAGAGTGAGTGACGGCGAGTTGAGGGAGTAACAACACTAATACTGAAATTGCTTGTCTCCCGAAAGTGATGCTATGTTATTATTGGAGCATGGTTATTATTGCACGATAACAACCGAACGCCTATGGCTATGCTGTTTAAATATAATTACTGACCACGACGAGAGAGTCGGTTAAATGGCTTTGTATGCACAGCTTTATTCGATCGTCACCTAATGGAATATCATGTTTGTAATCGGGTAAAGAGAAGCACTGAGACTGTCAGAGAGCATACGAAGCCCTACTGCGCAAGCAACGGCCAGCACGTTCGACCGCTGCGACAGAGCGTCAGTTGGTGAGTCGTTGTTCCGCGTCGCATTAGCGAAAGAACACAACGTGCGAAAACTTCGCAGAGCTAATCTGTTAATGGAGTATGGTAAAATCTGTCAATTATTATTTGAACGTCTAAATTTTTCCTTACGTAAAATACCATTTTTTCGAATTATATCAGAAATTTGATCGCATAAAAGCTTTCCTACATAAAGTAAAAGAAGTTATCATTGGCTTTAATGAGAACTTACGTTTTCATGCGAGATTTTTATATATGCATTTTTAGATAGGAATCAATAACACGATAAAATAATACGTGATACATCATGTATACTTAGAAGTAAATCCGATTTTCAGTATCGATGATTTGCAGAAGCTCTTTACTTTGGTGAAGGTTGCCTACGCTATGTTGATCATTACCCTGTTACTAATGCTATGGGCATCCGTGGCGCGGATGCACGAGCTACCTGTTCAGTATCCACCGTGCTTCTTTAATCCGCTTTGCACCTGCTCGAAAGCCATACCAGACCTCGGTATAGTGGCGTGCTACAATGTGCCAATGCCGCGAATACCGCAACCGATTAACTCGTCCAAGGTGTTCATGCTACAGCTGGAGAACAACGGACTTAGATTTCTGCAACCACAATATCTCATGAACACCGGTAGGAAGCTAAGTTACGAAATTAAGAAATAGGAAGTCATAAGGGTTTTTATGTGTATCAAGATTTACTTTATTCATTTTTGCTAATATTTTATTCTAAAATATTGATGTTTCCTCCATACATTATTATTATTAGCTTTAAAATATATACGTTTTTAGTTATTATTTAAAATATAAATTTTTATCATTTAAAATGATCTGTTTCAAACTACAAATAAATGGTGTCGCCAAAAATCTGTGACAGATAACTCACCATCGTCGTATGCTTTAGGTCTTTACAAACTACAGATCAAGCATAATCCGCTAGCGGACATCCCAGATGAAGCCTTTCTAGGTCTTGAGCGATCATTATGGGAACTCGACTTATCTTACAACCAACTCGCCAGCGTGCCGAGTAAATCATTCAGGCATCTACAAAAACTGCGGCTTCTTGAACTCACAGGTACGTACTTTTCACTCTTAATGAAAATTAGCGAGCGATAGTCCTTCATAAAAACGTATTGCTAACGTTTATATCAGTTTAAAATGATCTTTATTTACGTCATCGTATGTATGCAGGCAACAAGATATCGCGCATCGCTCCAGAAAACTGGCGCGGTTTGGAGAATTCTCTGCAAACTCTGCGGTTGGGTCGGAACGCGATCGAGAAACTGCCAGCCGACGCTTTCGCCGGCCTTACGTATTTAGAGATCCTCGATCTACGGGAAAACAGCCTAAAGGAGATTGATCCATCGGTATTCCGGGACGGAATGGCACACCTCACGCACCTTTACCTGAACGATAATCAGTTGACACACGTGCCGTATGCTCAACTATCCTTACTAAAACGCATGAAGGTCCTCGATCTCAGTTACAACAGGATCTCGAAGATGCTGCAAACCCAACAGGAGCCGGAGATTAGAGCCATACAGATGTCCTTGGACGTTCTGCAGCTGGATTACAATCAAATCGAGACACTTATGTCCGGTGATTTTCAACACTTCTACAAAGTCAACCGCACATATCTCAATAGCAATCCGTTGACAATGATTGAGGTATGATTTTAAATTGAGGTATAGAAATTATATAAATGTTACTGCAAGTAACGCGAAAAAACGTTTAAAAGGCAATCAAAATACAAAAGACAAAAATATGTTTGTAAAAAGTTAGAGCGTAACTATATAATAATATAATAATAAATATATAATAATATAATTATATGGTAATATAAATTCGTATGTTTTCAATTAAAGGAGGGCACATTCAGAGACTCACGCATTCGCGAGCTGTATTTAAGTGACTGCGATCTGTTGGAGATCAGCTCTATCAACTTGGCCGGTTTAGAGTCGACTCTCGAGTTATTAGACGTCTCAGGAAATAATATTACAACGCTACCGGACCGTCTGTTTCAAGAATTCGATTTTCTGCGTACGCTTATTTTCCGCGAGAATCACATCGACACTTTCTCACCAGGTAAATTCTTTTCGAAACCATGTTACAAACAATTAATCGTAAGCTAAGTTTGTTTCATGTTATATGTTTTCAGTCGAGGTGTTTAACGGTTTCCAATATTCTTTATACAACTTGGATCTCAGTGGTGAGCAAAACGGCATAATTTCTCTTCAAGACCTACGACAAATGAGAAACCTGCGTTTCCTCTCGATCTCGCGAATGCCGCAGGCCACTTTGTCGGCGGATGATTTTCTGGAATTTGGTATGGATATTAAAGAACTTAGGATAGTTCATAGCAATCTGAACACCATCAAGAATCACGCTTTCATGCATGTTCGTGGGATCAAGTATCTAGATTTCTCTGAGAATTCGATTTCGACGATAGACGATGAAGCTTTCTCGGAGGTAAATGCATCTTATAGTTCTCATAACGATCATCATCCTCTGTAATTTTTCAATTTTTCGTGCACATAGGTGGGCCACTCTCTTTTGACGCTAAAAATGTCACATGGTCTTGCTCCTACGATTTCCGAGATACCAAACCGACCGTTTAAGTCGCTGACAAATTTGCAACATCTCGACTTCAGTAACAACAAGATTCGTTCCTTACCGGCAACGTCGTTCCATTTCCTGAAAAGAATCAAGCGGATCGAGTTACAGGATAACGAGATCGACAATATACCGAAGGGCACTTTTCAAGTAAGTCGTCTGTTTGCTTAACAAACGTCTTTCTTACTGAGAGAATCATTCGTTTTCCAGGGTGACATACATTCAACGCTGGAGGAAATCAATTTTGCATTTAATCAAGTGAAAAGCTTACAAACCCATACGTTCGTCGATCTGTCGGCTTTAATGACAATCAATTTGGAAGACAACACCATCGAGAGGATCGAGAGACGAGCCTTCATGAATATGAATCGACTTAAGTACATTAACTTACGTGGCAACAAGATTAGAGACATTACTGATGAAGCCTTCCAGGTACTTTGATATTCGAATGTACGCACATGATACGCGATGAACGTCTTAATATACTAGAACATTCAAGTGTGCTTGCGGCCATAAATTCTATGAAAAATTTAGAGACAGGTTGATTCTCAGCAGAATTTCTCTTGTATACTTACAATTTTCGATATTACATACGTCGCGAAATTAATCCTGAAATTATAGAACATGTTATACGTATTTTTAATGTTTCAGAATTTACCGGATCTGGAGTTTCTCGACCTTGCATATAACAATCTCAAAGAGTTTGATTTTGCCTCCTTCGATCAAGTAGGCACACTGTCGTCGTTCAAAGTTAACGTTAGCCACAATGAAATTTCGAGATTATGGATAAACAGTACTACTCTTACATCACCTACTGCTAGTAAGTCTCACATCTATCACACGTTTATCTTGTCTCGTTCCAACTAATTTTTTTAGTATTCTATATTATATAACATTATTATTTATATATTGATATGTGCAATAGCATTCCGTATTAATGGATTTGCTCGGAAAATTTAAATTGTCCTAATCTTAACTTCTAGTCGGTGGTAACGTGCAGTCGAACATCAAAGTTCTGGATCTGAGTTACAACAATATATCCGACATCATGAAATACTATTTCAAACCAGTCGAATATTCGCTCACCCATCTATACTTGTCGAACAATCAGCTAAGGAACATCACTCAGGGTATCTTCGGCAACATGCCGCACCTACAGTGGCTTGATCTGAAACATAACGATCTTTTCGAAGTGGACTTTGATTGTTTCAAGAACACGAAGAACTTACAAGTGCTTCTTCTCTCCTGGAACGAGATCATGGACATTCCAGCGGAAGCATTGAGACCTCTGAAGAAGTTACGGATCGTTGACTTGTCTCATAACAAGTTGAGATCCTTGCCGGATAACATGTTTATCGATTGCAACATAGAGAGTCTTGATCTTTCGCACAATCAGTTCACGAGACTCCCCATCAAGAGCATGTCGCTCACTTCCGCCGCGAGCTTGGCGAACTTGGATATGTCCTGGAACATCTTGTCAGGGATCCACAACACCGACACGATATTCAGACTTAGAGTAAGTTAGTCTAGTTTATATTGGAATAAATAAAGTTTTGACAATGCGCTCTTTTTGTCCTTCCATTAACTATTTAATTTGTGTAAATTTAACACGATATAGGGCCTTGTGTGGCTGGATTTATCATACAATCGATTGGTTAGACTGGACGACGGTGTGTTCTCCGATTTGCCATACTTGGCCCATCTCGATCTAAGTCACAATAAGCAACTTATTTTAGAAACCCGCGGAAGGACGTTCTATGGTTTGGAGGATACGCTCTTTTATCTCAGCTTGAGCAACATTTCTCTTTTAAGCGTGAGTGTTGGATCCATGATGTGAAAAGCATCGTAGAACAGTTCGTAATTGGTAACTTGTAGGTTCCAGAGTTGCCACTGAGACGACTGCAGACATTATATTTGGCACATAACGAGCTGGCGTCGATACCCGCGGAAATGTCATCGAATCTGACGTCTCTTCACTATCTGGACTTGAGTTTCAATGACTTGACAGTGGTACCATTGATCACCCACTCGCTGCCAGAATTGAAGACCTTCAACTTGGCAAATAATCCTATTACAGCTATCACGAATACGAGCTTCTTAGGCGTGGCCGACAGTCTAGAGGAGTTGGACATACGAAGACTCACTCTGTCGATTTTCGAGGCAAATTTTATTTATTTATTTTTTTTAATAAAGAATCTGTAAGAGAACGCATTTATGACGTGAACTGTAATCAACTTTTGTAGGCAGGTGCACTTTGCAAAGCCACTAAGCTTCGTAAGCTACACATCACTGCCTACAACGGCGTGAAGAACTTTAACTTTCCCACCATACTGGAGTACAATAATGGCTTGAAGCATTTGCTTATTGACGTATGTATTGCGCGTGTAACATCTAATATCCAATATAAAAATGTCAATTTAACTAAATTCGAAAGTGATTTACTGCAGGTTCAGAACGACACCAATCTAGAGAAGGAAATGAAAGGAAAATTACCTTACAAATTGTACAATATCACGCTGACCGGTCGAGATCTGAAGGATATACATCCAGAAATATTACGTGTAAGTTCTTATCTTTCCACACAACTTGTTCTTATAAAATAATACTTCACAAATATACATTGACAATATATAATAAATAATTAAGACATGCAATAAATAATTTGTAAAGTGTGATTTCACGGTTGTTTTTTCAGGGCGTGCGAAATCCACATCTTCACTTTGGCTTGTACAATACTAGCGTAACGACTGTGTCGCGGGAGACTTTCAGCAATGCGCAACGAGTGCGTAATATCACGGTGGAGATTCATGACAGCGATACTCGAACGCTGCATAATCCGTCGTCTGGTTACAAGCCGGGAGTGCCGAACGAGCGATTTCTCATGAAGCTTCGCTTAGCCGGCAGTTATTTCAATTGCGACTGCGATATCGGGTACGTTAGACTTGAAATATTCGAAATATTCGAAGCACTGACGTTATTACAGAAGACCTAAGTTTTTCTTGTTTCCACTTGCACAGATGGATTGAGGTATGGCAGAGAAAGCACAGGCAATACCAAGAAGACCGATGTACTTCTTACGATAAGTCCAAGAATGTGGAGCGCGAGGAAGGCGACGAATTCAATTGCTGGGACAACGGATGGGACGACGATCTGCGCGAGACGTTCTGCGTGAACAAGAACAACATGTCGTTGTCGAATATGTTGAAAACTGAACTGGAATGCGGATGGGGCGCAGCGAGTCATATTATCCTACCGAACACTTTAGGTCTTCTCGTCCTCTCGATCTTCGTAGCTATCGTTTATTAAGCATATCTCGCGACTTCACACGATATTCTCGTCAAACCGTAAATTTTATATCTAAGAAAATATAATGATAATCGTTTTGCAAAGAAAGATTGGATTGTCATTTATACTCATATATTTGTACAAAGGAAGATTAATTCGAAATTAAATGGACTTCTGTAAGGACAACACCGTCGCGATTTTATTTGCGCTTTACGATGCGAAGAATACGTGTTAAATTTGTTCTTGACTTGTCTAGTCGTTCGTCAAGAGTTTCATCGCGATACTAACTGCCATTTGTATGATTGGAAAAACGATAAAGCTAAGTATGCATATAAGACAGGCGTGTACGCTGAGTAACTGTACAACGAGTATTGCGAATTTTACCGTCGCTTGCTGCAAATCCTTAGTCCTCCGTATATCGAGTACTTTGTCTAACACGAATCTCAGTATGAAGGAAAACATCTGGAAATTATCTCACGCTATATTCATTTTTTATCTTAGAGCATAAAATTTGAGGCATTATTTGTAATAATTACTTGAATAATAGGGACGATGTTAATAAAAACGTATAATAAGGCCCACAAAGATTGCACTGTAGCTTGAGCCATTACTCTAATCAAGGCAGCGAATGAATATTCATTTTGTGGTGTGCCACAGAATTCTTGATAGTTGGTCAGGTATTCTTGACAATCGGAAAGAATGCTTCGTTTGCTTTTCCCTTCCTGAGGTTCGTCCTCTTTAAGGATATTGTATATAAGAAAGTAGAACTTTTCGTGTTACACATTGAATTGCGTTGAGTATAATACAAAAAAATATTTTTCATTGTATTTACCTGATTCGCGATTGGATTTTTGACAAGGCATACGATTGTAAACGGAAACGCTGTGGGGATTTTTATACTTCCACGAAACGTGTTCGAGTTGTCGAATTGTATTATTTTCTGACATCGACGATTCTATTGTATTTCCCGTGTTGCATATCGTTTTGTATGTCCAGATATCCGATTTCTTTCGAGTCCCAATTGACGCAGCCGAGATTCTTTCTGTGTTAATTGTACCGATTGATTTAGACAACGAATTCGTCAACTTTATGAAATATTTATCCTCTCTGTTGGTGCATCCCGACTCATCTAAAATCTAATATCAAATGTGACTTAAAATGTGTGTTTGTAACTTATCATCTAAACTAATTATACTATACTTTATCGTGCATGATAAATTTAAGATTTATGAGATTTTGATTTTTAATCTAATATGTCCTTCTTTCTGTCTTTACTTTGCTAAACATGCGAAAATTGTCCACTCGTTGAAATTGCTCATGTTTGAAAATGTGATTGTTGATATCATCCGTTTCGGAAGTAGACGTAACTTTGACGGTTTTCTCTTCTTCAGGGTGCATACTAACGAACTTTATAGAAAAATCATTCAAAACGTTTAAATTTACACGAAGAGATTATTATGTGTACATCACAACGAAAAACATGTAATTTATCAAGCTTGTAAAACTGTCAAGTATATTATTTTTTTATCAATCCTGAATGTAGCGTATCCTTACGAAAAGTGCGAAGTTGTTGCGATGTCTTTTAATTGTAATTTATTAGGCTTTCTACAATGTTGTAATTAAATATGGGGAGAGAGGATACAGCTAAAATAAAATAAAATAAGTATTTATTTATTTAATGCTAGATAATTAGTGTCAAATAATAAAGAAATTTCGAATTTTAATTGTTTTGTGTAAATAATTTGCATTATGGACATTTGTGAAGCGGCATCGTTGTTTCTCATCCATGAAAATTATAGGTATAGTACGGATACGCACCACACGGAGACTCTGGCTGCGTTCCGAAATGCACTGCCAATACTGAAAATCTATAGTTTATGTTACGTATATTATAGAATTTCAGTACTGGCAGTGAATTTTGGAACGCAGCCTCTGTCGGCAGTATCAGAAGATGGGCGAAGTAGTTCCAACTGAAAAATGAGTGCAGATGGCATATCTAACAGTCGTGAAACCTGTGAAGACCGGTAGCAAGTAATACGCCGCAAAGAATTTTTTTATATACCGTGATTTTACTAAAATCATCTGCTAAAATGGTAAGCAATAAATAAAATTTTGTATATAATTAAGATAATTATATTTGTATATTTTTCAAGACTTTATTTGTCTGCTTCAACTTTTTGAGTGTAAAATTTAATTGACTTTTTCCCTAACAAAAATGAAAAGATTAATAAATATTGTATATCTGAATATCTTTGCCAAAGAAGAATTAAGAGATTTTAAGATTTTAAGAAAAAAAATTTTTATAATGCCAGATACAAAGAGACCTAGACTTTGTTCAATCGGACATAATTTAGGTTATTTTGTAGAGGTTATAATACATAAAAAATATATTGATATTATACAATATTCCATAAACATACGGAAGGAAGTCAATATATTATCAATAAAGAGTTTTATATATTAATTATTTACAATCTCTTTCAGACGATTGGCAAGAATAATAAGATGCTGCAGCACATCAACTATAGAGTCAGAATCATCCTTCAGGACTCTAGAACATTTATAGGCACTTTCAAAGCGTTTGATAAACATATGAACTTAATTCTTGGTGACTGTGAGGAGTTCCGTAAAATCAAACCTAAGAATACCAAACAACCAGAAAGAGAAGAAAAACGTGTATTAGGATTCGTCCTACTGCGTGGAGAGAACATAGTTTCCCTGACAGTGGAGGGTCCACCACCACCTGAAGAAGGGTTGCCTAGGGTACCAATCCCGGGTGCTGCACCAGGACCTGGTATGGCTCGTGCTGCTGGCAGAGGTATGCCAGCTAGTGTTGCAGGAGTCCCTGCTGGACTCCAAGGACCAGTCAGAGGTGTTGGGGGACCATCTCAACAGATCATGACACCAGGTAGTAGAGGCCAGGTATCTGCTCCTCCACAAATTCATCCTGGTGGCCCTCCGCGCATGCCAGTTGGTGGGCCACCACCAGGAATGATGGGACCACCAGCAGGAATGATGGGTATGAACCTTTTTCTTATTCAACATGGATATTTGATCTTTTTAGAAAGATCGACTTCTTTCTATCTGGTTTCATTACATTCATGTTTCTGTATGTTTTTAATATTCTATCAGTATTATCATCATACACTGTTAAAAAAATTAAGGTTTTATACTGAATAAAAAGTTCTATCAAGTGACTGAAGTTTAAATCAAATATAAAAGTGAGAGATGAATCACAAGAAAAATATTCGATACTCTTACAAATATCTATTAAGTGATACAGGCATTTAACAAAATAATATTCCAATTCTTTTGAGCAATATGTGGTGTTTGAGAGTAATTGTTGCAACGATTACTACTTTGTTATTATTAGACATAATATCTGTTATTATTAGACATAATAGTTATTATTAGATGTAATATCATATAATCAATTGTTTTTTTAGGTATGCCACCTGGAATGCCACCTATAGCACGTGGTGGTCCACAAATGCCACCTGGAATGAGAGGCCCACCTCCGGGCTTGATGCGTGGTGGTCCGCCTCCTCGTCCTTATTAATGAATGCTACTTTTCAAACTTTTAAGATATTTACTAATATAAAATCATTAAGGGAACAATATGTAAGAAGAATCCTTTCTTTATATTAAGATTCGGTATCACCTAGCCCGTGCATAAGTCTTCTGAATGTCAACAAATATCAGTTAACAATTGAGCATGTAAAGAATTAACAAACGTCTGTTTTACTTAAGCTTAAATACCTTTATTTCTTCCGTAATTAACTATAAATATCATTGCGTCTATACATTTTTGCACCAGTACAATGACGTACATAGAATTTCTCACACGTCCCGCATCAATTTTCTCATTTGACAGATTTTTCGTCCGAATTGACTGAATGTCATATTTTTTCACAGTTTCTTAATATTCAACATCAAATATCTCGATCACAAAGTCTTTAGTTAAGATTATGTTAAAGTAATTTTTTGAAACTTAATTAAAAAATTGGTAATTTAATTTATTAGAGCATTCGCTATTTTGTTTGAGAATTATTCGTACACGAGAAAGTAGTACTAAAATTTTACAGATGGAAGATATGGCATATTCAAGACGCTCACAATACATATATACAATATGCTCGATTAAACAAATAATCAGTGATCTAGTTCTCATTTATTGAGGCGAAAATCACGATCGCATGAAACAGCTGTTTATAAATTACAGCATTTTAGGCGAAGGTATCTTGGCAATTTGGCAGAAATTCTGCGTAGATGCACGGTTACAGTAAAAAATCGGAGTAATAGAGCACCGCAATTGCGAATCGAAGGGCAGTGTCACTTCGCTTATATGAAAAAATATATTCTTTCCCTGTTAAATCTAATTATGCTCTTTAATAGAGAACAGATTGCTGGCTCGTTTTATGCGAGCAAGTTTTACTTAAAAAAAAGAGAGCAAGAGAGAGAAACGCGGTACTTACAACGACAAAATATCTCGAGTCTCTATTAACACTCATGCTTTATGAATGGCGATAGAGTGGAAAAATTATTATATGTACATATATGAATATATAATATGTATATATAATAATAATATATATATAATAATATATATATATATGTTGTATGTACATATATGAATATATAATATATGTACATACAACAATACATGTATATATATGTACACACACACACACACACACACATATGTGTGTGTGTGCAAATTTACCTGCATCCACTCTGAAACGTACATCTCTTACAATAGCCCAAGTTCTGTGTATTTACAAAATATTTACAATGTCGCTGCGATAGTAATAAGTATGAGCAAGTGACAGATTCATAGAACCAAACTTCTAGTACTTAATATCATAATATCACATTTACAGAAACGTTTAGTCTTACACATTTCCAAGTGTTACGCTATTCACAGGCAGAAGTACGAAACAATTTTCGAATGTGCGTGAAACTTGACACGTCTGGTTACTTCTCTTCTCGCTACGTAACGTGTTAAATATTTTGGCTTACGCTACGTTCTACAACGTTACACGTAGCTGCAAGACTCGTGATTTGATATTAAATTAAAAAACAAATCTAAGAGCTACATGCATGTTGGGTAGAAGCTGCCTGCTATTCGTTCGTAAAACACGAGAAACACATTCGATGCTGATTGGTACGCGGAGAGTCACATTTAACGTTAAATGCATTTTGACACAATTCCGGCTTGCAATTCTCTCCTAAACTAATAGAAAAGGAAAGTGACATTATAAAGTAGAATCAAAAACGTTGACTTAGGAACGATGGACAATTTACGTTTTGCGAGCTGGAATTACGAGAAATTCAATGAATGCGCGACGCGTGTCATGGTTATTTTCATTTTATGAGAGTATAAATTATAACAACGGCACAAATTGCGATTTGGCACTTACATAGTACTAGCGTCAATCAGTATGATTGAATTTTGGTGTCAAAACCTCATTTTTACAAATGATCAACTCGCCTCGCTCGTGCTACAAAGTAATAATGAGGCTTGGGATTGAAGTCATTACGGTTTCTCTTGAAATCATCGAATTATTCAAGGAGCAAACGTAGGCATGTATGTATGTAAATTTCGTTAAAATAGACGTATATAAATAGAAACATACGCATGTATTTATATTTACGTAAAATATATATATCAGTACGCTTTCGAGACGAAAGTATCAGCCTTGCCGCCGTACGACGATGATCACGACACGCGTAACATCGACACTTCTTAGTCGTTACGAGTTATCATGCTCGTCCACATGATTTACGGTCACTGTCTCCACGTGCTGGAGACTTTCCGAGTTCGTATCCTTCACTTCTAACGTCGCATCGAACATGTCCGCATCCTCGTTGGATTTTCGTGTCCGTGTATCGTTATCAGCATTATCTATGTAGGGGAAATGCGTTTTTTAAGTCTCGAGACATTCTTGGGGGATTTGAAGTATTTAGAATTCAAAATGATTTGGATAAGATACTTCGCAAACCAGGATTTTAATATTAACAAATAGAATCTTTAACTTCTTGTAAAGCTAAAACCAGTTATGAGACGCATATTTGTATGTAATATACCTTGTACACTGGTGAGTTGCGTCGACTTGACTAATATTTCTTTGACTTCTGGCATTATCGAAGAACCTAAAGAATTTACTACTTGAGAAGTCATGCTCGCGTTAACATCTTCATTCTTGCTACAAGAGAAAAATTATCTGTTACATCCATAGACGATAATTATTGCCACTCGTATCGCTGTTACTATGAACTGACCTATGTTGTTCTTCCTCCGTGGAAATGATCACGGAGTCCGTCTTTGGAGAAGATTCCTTGTTTATCGTGGTGTTTGTGTCACTGTTGGAATCTTCCGTTAAAAGACGCGTATACCTGCTTTGTATCACAGTCTTAGGTTCTGAATTAAGAACGCCGGAAGAGTCGAGGTGTTGCGAGAGAATTTTTTTCTTCTCGAAAACGTCCTGTCGCACATTGAACACGATCGTGTTTCCAGGCTACAAAACGCGATTGCAAGTAACGTTGCAGACGTGACGGGTTAAATAATGGTCGCGAAAGAGATACAACACAAAAGTCACCTTTATGTTCGTTTTGACAGATTCTGCATTCGGAGGGTTTGCAGTCGGCAACGTGGTCGTTGTTTGATCTCCGTTTAAAGAGACGTGATGTGGTAGAACACTAACCGAGCTCGCGTTGTGTTGACTTGCAACACATAGATTCTTTCCCCCCATTATTACCTTTCCTAATACTTCCTGAAACATTAAACGTCGTTAATGCGATGATATCTCGATGCTATTTTATCAGTTGTATCACTCCTTGATTCAATCAGGAACAGCATGTATCACAACGAGTATCAATCTATCGGAATACCTTGCCTGCATGCGATAATGTTACGCCCTTTGCATGACCCTTCTGGATAACGATCACGTTAGTCTTAGCAGTTAATTTAGTGTTAGAATGATGAGGTATATTTACAGCTTTTGCGGAATTTATCGTAACACTCTGAAAGATACACACAATATATAGGTGTTGCACACACTAGCGTTGAAGTATCTTCTTATATTACTTCTACAATTTCATCATTACGCGCGCGATGACCATTTAGTATTGTTTATTATACATCATGCAGACTTTTAATGGGTCAAATGATTAACAGACAGTTCTTAATGAGACAATCATGCATAACATTTACCATTTTGGCAGTAGATTGCGGACTGAAAGTCGCATTTTGTTCAGATGGCCATTTTTTATATGTTAATAATGGGGTAGCTTGCTTGACTTGAGGTGGCCCAGGGCCGCTCGACACTGTAGTGCCAGGATGTACAGCCATAACTCGATGTGCATTGCCTAAGAAATTGATGATCTATGATTGTATGATCTATGCTCTTCAAAATGCATGAAAAACTTTCATTTCTGTCAAAAGTATTTTATTTTTACTGATAATACGAAACATTTTTTACGCTTACTTGATATAACTGATTTAGACACTATGGGGTTTATATTAGTGTGTATGATAGGTGGCACTCGCTTTATGCAAGACAGACTCGAGCTTGTGCTCTCAGATTTTTGAGTTTTTTGCGTGTCAACTGTAATTAAAAGAAGCTTCAGTGTCTGGGAATGTGATATGCGCAGTAATCTATCGTCGGTATATTTCATTTCTCGTAAAATTGGACTCTATTCAAATCAGAGTTGTGCGTACTTGCGTTATCCTGAGATTGTGTCTCTGCATTTTCTGTCTGCACTTTGTTTGACGTCGCGTTCGATGCATCACTCGACGTAATCGGCGTTATCTTTGTACTAAGTTTGTTCTGCACGAAGTTTACTATCGTCTTAGGCTTGTTGGCGTTGCTTGGGCATGCGGAAATTATTGTACTAGTTTGCTTGTTTGCTGGAACTAAGGGTCGATTGCCTGTGCTTCCCGATACTTCGCTCTCCTTAGAACCTGTATCCGGGTATCCAAGTATTTGATACGAATTCGTTAAAACAAAAATATACTCAAAAAATGTAAAAGAAGATACCAACCTGAGATCTCAATGGTTAATGGAATTATTTTAACATTTTGGTGATGTGTGATCACCTGTGACTCTTGAACGTCGTTCTCGGACGTCGTTTTGTCTGTGACAGTGTGGTTTAGTGTCTCTGGCGAATCCGACGATAGCACCAGAACTTTGTTCGGCAGTGCTGTTGGTAGCGGCGAAGGAGATTTACGTTTCCCGAGACGTTCCGATACTTTAGGCACCTCAGTAACTTTTTCAGTAACCTTTTCGTCTATATCTTTATTATCTACCATCTTCTCGTCTTCGATTGAATTTAAACTCTGCAAATTGCGCAAGTTATAAATATAAAAATATATTTCGTTAACCGTTAAAATATAGAAGATCGTAATTCTTCATATCTTCACATACTTCTTTCAACGTTTTGCTGTCATCAGGTTCTAAAGTTATATTTCTAAGGTTACATAATTTTGAATCAACTGGTAAGTCTTCCTCTGTTTTTACTTCGGGTTGAGATTCACTTTCAGCAGCTGTTAGCACAAATACATACATAATTGCTATAAGTTTATGAAACAGATTGTTTCTCTTATAACTATTAAAATTATCATTTAATAAACCTGTGAAGTTTTCGGATAGTCCAGAAGTAATACGCCTATCAGGATTTCTCGTGTTTGCAACTGCAGCTGCAAGAGACAAACTATTTGCTAGCGTAGTAAACGTCGACCGTGCTTTTAATCTTGGCAAAAGAGGAATAGTTCGACGACCTTCGATGGTCCAATCTGTACCAGTATTTGGGCCATTAAGTCTGCATTAAAGTAATTTCAAATTATTTAAATGAACAAACAGAACTTGCTATATATATGCAAGCAATTATCTGACAATAATATTATATTATTATTAAGTAAATTTGATATTTTCTCTTATGCCCATATAATGAGAAAATTTCTTCTTATAAGTATTAAAAATTCAGCATTTGCATAACACATACTGTTCAGCAATTGTGGCTAGTTTCTCATCATTCACAGCTCTTCGTACTTCAGCACGATGCCTTTCATTAGAGATATTTAACATTTTAGCAATTTCCTGCAACAACTTCTGCTTTTCACTGGTAAAAGGGCCTTGAGCACGTAAGACAGAAATTATACTTCCATAAGCATCTAATTCTGCAATATACAAAAAACATATATTTTATTACGATATACACTATAGGAGAGAAACATAAATTGAAATAATTATTTAAAATGCTGCCAATAAATATGTGGTTACATAGAATACATCTAGATTTGTATAAATTTCTATTTTTTTATCAAATAAAGAAATTATATTTTGGTATCGATAATATTCATAATTGATTGAAAAAATACAATCTCAAAAAAATATATCTTTTTCAGTGACAAGTATCTGACTTTGCATCATATAACACAATCATTATATATACACAATTTCATGACATATTTGTTAATTTGTTTGAACTTAATTTCTGGTAAACTTGAAATATTATATATACCCAGGGTATTTTACACAAAGAAAATTTACTTCATCTCACATCACTGCCATATTCTTGTGCAAGCATAAAAATGCAATAAGTATAAAAGTATTGAATATATCAGTATCTTTATCTCAATTCAATGCTAAATATGACTTACTATTTCTGCACTTTATATATACAATACAAAGATTGCAGTTTAATATTAGTTGAATGAAGACAATCTCGTTTTTAGCCTATAAGCATGATATAGAAATATGGATCCTAAAACTACATCTTTATCCTTGAAAATTAGCATCATATTTCATGTTGAATGTAACTTCCTAATTCCGAGCATTACTTATTCTATAAGACGTCGACCAACATTAAGTTACTCAAAGATAGACCCACGACTTAATGTTAAGTGGAATATAAAAATACGACTTCCATACGAAGTCATCCACCGTTAACAAATGTATGTTCTCGAATTTCTAACGAATTTGAAATTCCCTTCGCGAAAAACACAGAGCAAAAATTCAGTCTTTTTGCTACATCACAGAGAACACAGAAAAATCTGACATCAGTTTACAATATAAATTTTACATGAATACACTTAAAAATATTAGCAAGGTGATTGCGGCCGAGAAGTCGTTCGGCAAGCTCTGTACGCTAACAAAGCGAGCGCGATTATCCAAACCACATAACCTTACCGAGGTATCGTAAACACTTTCTGCACTCATCACGAGTCATCTCCAGCCGCATCGGCCACATGATTCCGCAACTTCTCAGCAACCGGCTCAATTCACTTCAAGAAGATGACGGGATCGACAGAACGCGTCAACCGCATCTTCGTCAACCCTCGATGATGACAGTCGAGCGAATTGACCATGGAGTACAGACTCCTCTCTAAGAAAACGAGTGGCGACCACCATGGTCTGTACCCGGATGTGTGCGAACTAAAATGGTCATGTGATGCGAAGTGGGAATATTCGAACCATTCGCGCGCGCGTAAAAAAAAAAAAAAAAAATATATATATATGTATATATAAATCCATATATATATTAGGTCATGTAATAAATAATCTCGAACTTTTCATATCAAATTAATAATCGCGAACGCGAACGTAAATAAAAAATAAAAAACTATGAAAATTATGACGATAAAGATAAAGATTCTATTTAAAATTCACGCGGAAAAAATGTTACTGCGTGAGACGTCTGTCTTCGTTCGATGGAACTTGTCGCGTGCCGCATAAATGAGCAAACAACTGCTCGCATGTCTGACTTGTGTACATCGTGTTTTTCGTGATGGATCAACACTCTCTAACATTGTATCCGCCTTAGGAAACTCTAACTCTAAATGAAAAATTGAAACTTGAAAATTTTCCGACGATCGTGAAATTAATTTCGCGAGCAGTTTAAGTTAATCACATTAGATCGCTTTGAATAAACACCGCATAATATCAAATTTTATTTAATAACAACCTCTGTACTTTACGAAATGCAATGGTGACGTAAACTCACGCGAGAGAGAAAACTAAGAAAATTAACGACCGGCGGAAGATCTATCGAGGTGTGATATGATTGCGCATTTTCTGTGGCGCAATCTCTGTACGCTGGCGCACTGATCGAGACACCTGGAAGATCGTATTTAATAAAACTGAATAATTTTACAAAATTTTGAATTCAGAGCGTATACTCGATATTTCAGTGGCATCTACCAGACAGTGTTAGCATTTAATTAATCAAAATTTTCTTCAACAGAAATCATTAACCAATCAATAATCTAAGTTAGTTCAAACAATTAATAAATATATATACATTGAGAGAAAAATACTTGAAAATTTATCAAATTTATAAAAATACGTTATCACTAATATTATTATTTGTAAAAATGATCTTTCAATTGTTTCGAACAGTGTGCTTTACTGGACGGCACATACACACACTACATCACAGCAAAGTAAATCGCATTGATTCATAAACATGCATTACATGGAAAGACATTTTGTCTTTCTATTATCAATTTTTTTTCTTGTTTGGCTCACCGACTCGCCGATCAAGGCAGCCACGTTCTGCTTTCGTTTCGGCAGGACAGAAAAATGTTTCGCCGATTAGATTCGTGCATTGATGTTGGTTTGAGAAGATGTTGGTTTGTGAAGAAGTTTAAAAAAAAAAATAAATGCGCGATATTTTTCACGCTGGGAGAATTTTTCGGAATGCATTCACATTTAAAATATTCCACACTTTCCTTTTTCTCGATGCTTCAAAAAAATCTTTTAATTAGAACAAATCAGCATTTTTCAAGTGATAATGTTACTCAGGAAAAAATTCTCCTCGCATGTAATTACGATTTAACACGATCTTTGACTCGATTCAAATTATCTCGATTTCGAACAAGAGAATTATCAATATTATTGGATTTATAATTACAAATGCTAAGTAGGAAAGCTAACCTTCGAGCTAACCCCGCTTGGCTTCCGGCTCCTCCGGCGCAGCAGCCCCTAAGAGTTGGCTGATCGTCTGCTTCGTCTCTGCAACAGAAAGCATATTTAATTTAGTATTATACACGACAATGGTGGCATTAAGAAATTTGATTCCAAACAAAAGAATTTCCAGTTTTATTGGATTTCTAATTACGAATTTAAATCAATGAAACTCACCTTCGCGCCAACTCTGCCAGACCCGAGCCGGATCCTCCGGCGCAGCATCCCTCAGGCATCGTATTCCCTAGAGTCGCGTAACTGCGTCTTCTCTATTAGATCTTCTGTGACAGAAATTTCATTTAATTTAGTATCAATTAATAATTTAATAAATTAGTATCAAATAGTTATACGCGACAGCAAAACGGTGAAAAGAAATTGTCGTAACGGCACATTTGAGTTCCTTCCCAATGCGCAATAAAAAATAATTAAATAACGATAGCCAAATAAAGAAGTAATAATTCCCGATTAATAGGTGATGATAATAATGTCTGATCAACAACCGTATAATAAGTCCGGTAGTATCAATTAATTACACACGACTACAAGACGAGGTAAGGAAATCGTCATAACGGCATGCTCAAGTTGCTTCCCAATACGTAATAAAAATAGTTAAATGACAACCGTATAAAAATAGTAATAAAAATAGTTAAATGACAACCGTATAAAGAAATAATAATATTCGAATAATAAATGGATGATGATAATATTTGATCAGCATTGAGGAACTCGATCGCGACATTTCTCTATCTAACAAGTAAAAAAATAAATGAAACGCGGTAATTACTCGCTGCGGTAAAGCCCACAACACCTGCTCGCGTAATAAATATGCGTCTTAAATCGTGTTAATTATTGTTGTTGTAGCGAAGTCAAAATGCGGTAATAAAAATCGTCGCGAAATAATTTGGAAAATAACGCGGTAGCTACCACGATATGCTCGCCTCAGCGACTGATAACGTTATGGCGTGACGCGCGCCTGATCGTGCGCCCCCCCCCCCCCCCCAT